ATATCATTCAGTACCAGAGAACTCCTTTATACCGTGGTTTCGCTATCCAGAATCTCAAATTCCGGCCACTCCCAAACCAAGCGATGCTTAGCGGCAGCTCGCACTTCCTCACTTCCACCGAAGAAATGAGCTTTGCATTTCGATGAATCCAGCCAATGTTACATCATCCAAAAAACCGGCTTCATCCATCTCAAAAACCGAAGTCTGCTCAACAATGGGAAAGTTTCCAGACGGTAAGCTAACGGTCCTCCAGGATCGCCTTGCTGTACACCGCTTTCCGATGCTATGACGGTATCTCACTAGGACAGATGGGATATGGGCACATACGACGATCGAAACAGGGGTGGTACACCGGGTTGACGTACTGTACTGCTTGCTGAACTGTACAAAACTGCGCTTCTGCTGGTCATGTTGAAAGCGTTTTTGACGTCCAGTTTGACTATTCCTCTAAAATCTTTGTGATCTGTTTCCAAGTACGTTCGCGCGGCGTGTACGATAGCTTCACCCCCCATTTTTGTTCCATATCCCAGTTTGAACTGGGCGGAAAAGTGCGCCTACTTGTTCCTGACATCTTGCGCTGACAATCTTTGACGCTATCCTGCGTGACACCTGTGTAAGAAATAAAAGGGACATGGTTCAGTAGGGACTTTGCCATTGAGAACAATATCCATTAGACATGTCATGGCCAGACTCAGCTCACTTTCTTCGCCGTCCCGGCGGTTCAGCATGTCTTTTAAATATTGGGGTTTCATACCCGAGAAACCTCCAGCAGATCCGGCGGGCATACTGAAGACAGCGTCCAGTTACTCATCAGGAGAGACACGCATTGCTGCAGGCACTGCAGCAGTAGGTGGAAAAGTTTCGTCGGCGGACCGCTGGGATGTTATCTTTGAGAGCAGCTATGGTTTCGTCGTTCATTTCCGCTATGGTTTTTTCCGAGGACAGGAATTTGACACTGTCATGGTCCGTCCATTTTGAAACATCTGAGCCACACGTTTACGAACGTGCTCTGTGTCATTCATTTTTTCCCCCTTTGCTTCTCTTTGGCGCTTTGTGATTTGAAAGATTTTTGACGCTGTCGGTGACTGTAAGGCTCTCTTCCATCGCATGCAAATTCTTTCTGACTATAGTATTCAAAGAATCCTTGCAAAGAGCTTTCGACTTGGGCAGTGCCAGTGCAACCCTAGAAAATTTCAGCACTTCGCACCAGAACGCCGCATCATTTTGCTGCACACGGCGACGGGCTCTCTTCAGGAATTCCGTCGCACAAAGGTGCTCTATCGCTTTGGGGATCCTTGCGGATATCTTCACGCGCGGTCCGCTTAGTAATTCCTGAAGACCTAACTGACGAGTTACAGGTGGAGGTTGCTTAGGAGCGGTCTGCTCATCTTGACTGACTACGTGGTCTTTGGAGACTTCGAAGCGCCTGTGCAAAGAGCCATCTTCTATCGTCGCAGCTGAGGCTGGCCATTTGCTGCCATCAGAATAAAATGAAAGAAGCAGCGGCAGTCCGTGTCCAGAACTCAATGAAAAACAACAAACAGTAGGAGAAGAAATTTACGGGGTCACCGTTGGTGGTCGCTGGATGTCGGCGGTACAGCTGCCACCACACAGCCTCTGGAGAGCATCAGTCTACCATACTCATTTCCCGCAGCCACCCTCCATACTGAATGACGGGAAATTTGCCATTCAGGGGCATTAACAACAAGCCCAAATATATTCCGGATTTCCGGTGGTAGTAACGTTACAGTCATTCCCGTAGTAGTGATTTATTGTAAATATTTGTTCTAATATTGATGTGGTTCTTAAACATGGGACTGGTAGTGGTCAGCAGGTCCATTAGCTCGTAGAATGACGGCCGAAATGTGCGCAAGCCGAAGCGAGCGCTGACCGAAATGTGCTGCGGCCGAAGTTAAGGGCGGCCGAAGTGAACGACAGCACCTGCTGACGACGTTTTGTTGGTCGACAAAACCGACAATTGACAAAATGATTACCGACAAAATGAAATTACCCGACAACTTGTTGAAACGACAATTCAATGATCGACAAATTGCTGAACGACAGTCTGCTGAACCCCGACAATTCGCTGACGACCATCTGCTGACTTGGATAGGTATTCTAAAAAAACAAAGGAAATCACAACCAAACGTAAGAATCCCGACTGCTACCACACCAGGCGGGAGTTAATGTGACAGATCACGTTGCTCTTTGGAGGTACCTCTCCGACAATGCATCGCCTCCTCTGCCAGAAAGCCGAAATTTCCAACGCGCATGGGACACGCCATACTGTCTGGCCGAACAGGCAACTTTGCTGCACGAGGCTGTAGATCCCACCACCAAAGCCCGACTACTGGCTTCCGCAGCCCCAGATTCAGGCTATTGGACGCACGCACTTCCCTCGTCCTCAATTGGCAACCTCGTGGATGACGAGTCGTTTCGGATCGCATTCGCAATTAGACTCGGCACACCAGCGTCATCCGATCACTGGTGCAGGTGCGGAAGTGATGTCACCGCGGACGGCCATCAAGCATAATGTCGGTCACCAAATTGTGGGGCAACAAAACGGAGGTCAGACAGTTGAGGTGGTACCCATGTTTGGACCATCTTTATTAGTTTGAGGAGGACTGACTGATTGATACTGGACTGTCATAAGTAGATCCATGTACTGAAACAAGGTGGTGGATATTCGCCCGAGAACAGCCATTTCGTTAAAATAATAAGGAAATGACACAGAGTGCTGGGTGACTCCGCTTAAATAATGTGCACAAACTAACATCTACTTAACTCTATCTCGCATATTACCAATTGCAATATTTACACGTTAGGTATATACAGACCGGAATATGTGAAGTACCCAGGTAAAACCGCAAATTTAGTAAATCCTGTTGACTGTGAGAATTCTGCAGAAACTGAGTAACGCACGAGATAAGAGAAGCGCTCACAGCTGGCCCATATTGCGATGATGTGCCTTTTGCACGTTCGAAGTCTCGAACATAACTGATTAGTTCCCACGACGTGTTAAAAATTTTGATTAAAATTTAGTTAATTAGTTACGGGTTCATTAGAATTAAAAATTTGCGGATAAGTGGTGCATTGATCCATTCGCTGACCGGCTGGCGTTTATTAGCTTGCAACTGGTAGCGTTCAAGGAGAATTTATACTATGGTAGCAAGACTAAAAATGAGATTTTCGAAATTCTATACGAGGACAGGCTTAGTATTCGCGATCACCTAAAAAACTAGCGAGAATTCGCGATCACCTAAAAAACTAGCGAGAATTCGCGATCACCGTGCCCGGGTTGTGCAGAACAGTCAGTCTTCAGCCAGCCACCAAGGGAAAGCAGTCCAGTGACACTCCACACAGCCATTGGGCTGGACTGCCTTCTCCTGGTGGCTGGCTGGTGACTGACTGTTCTGCACAACCTGATCGCTAATTAATAAGAGTAGTTACATCTATTACTGGGCGAAAGTTTAGTAAATTTAGGGGGCAACGAAAAAAGTTATTCAAGTTTTTTCGTTGCCGACCAGGAGCGATTTGGCGGGCCAGCGTATCTTTCCACATTACTGCCACCTGTGATCGAAATCAGTGAAAGAAAGATTGCCCCGAATGTGCTTTGAAGCTTTCTTTCATTCTGGAATATGCCTTGCGGTTGTTATATTCCATGCGAGATTGCAAGTGTGATAGGGCCAGACAAGGCTCATATAGGGAATGCGTGGTTTATCCACGTATCCCGTGTGACGAAATATATGAGGCACAACACACGATGAATAAATGGTAATTTATTCAGAAGTGAGCACAAAATATCGGAAGATCAAAGGGCACAAAATAATGGAGAAAAATATGCCAGTCATGGACTGTGCATAAAACCATCTGCCAGAACAACGCTCTCAGCTGGCCCATGCATCCACATGGCACACATCACTGTGGTGATGACGTAGCCGAGTTGTATCGTACAACTCGCACTCATCATCCCTGCACTCATGTTTACACAGTCAGGACGCATAGAGCATAACAAAGGCGCTAGACAATGGAAACACGTAGCGCTGTCCTGTGAGTGCACATGAAAGAGTGGCCAAAGTCCACTCTTCGATGTGCACACATTCAGTGTGGCGGCACTGCAAGCGCAGAATCGGTAAGACCAAAGGAAAGCTCAGAACAAAAGAAGGTTCTTCGCTACGTTCTGAAAAAATTTCCAAAAATGACTTCTAAACTCAATAAATTTTCAAAGATGTCCAAAAATTCTGACATTTGATCAGATTCAAGAAAAATCATTTTCAAGAAGAATTGTGGAGCGTTTTTGTTAAAAATGTTTGTGTATTCTGTAAGAAATAAAAGAAAGTAACTCTGGGTCTTAAAAAGGTTGTTTTTTTCAACAAAGGTTGAGTTTTTTGGAAAAAACGCTCCACAGAACTTTAGTCATTTTGGCGGAGCACGTTGCTGCGCTTGAAGGAAAATTTTCAAAAATCTGCTTGAATTGTTATTGTTTCCGGAAAATAACGGCCTTTGATCAGTGACTTTTGCATTTTAAAATAGTCTAATCGATTTCAGATTTTCAATGTATGTAGTGAAAATATCATAGTTTTGGGTCAGATGTGTAGTTATGATGCAGCTCAAGCGCACGCATTGCGCCAGCAAGAATAGTCAAAGGAGGTCGAAATCGGTATAATCTCTTCTTAAATAACTGTTTTAAAACTTAATTAACTTTTTTATTTAATTTGAAGCACTGAATTCGATAGGCTCTAGGCAGTGACGTGCAAACCGCAAAGCAGAATTACAGACCAGAATGAAAACACATCGTAGAACAAAACTTCAGCATATTTTGGCGCTTCCAAAACTTCCTTTTCGATGCAGATATGTGATGCATCTTTGCCGCGCAGTTATTTGGTATTGGTTAAGGTGCTGAGTTCGATTTTTTTTAGCGTGTATTACAGATCTGCTTCGCGGTAAACCTTCAGGACTGAATTTTGAGCCTGATTTATGGCATTTGCTGCGCTTTGTAGGTTCAGCGGGTTTCAGCCAGACGGGAGACCGCAAATGTGGAACGATGTTGACTTAAGGCTGCTGGATATAACAAAGTTAAGTAAAATGGCTGTGTATGGAATAGACGAGCTGTTTCACGTGTGAACCCTGCATCTGGATCATCGCCTGCGTCGAGAGGAAAGCAAACCGGACGTTGGATCAGCAGACGTTAAAAAAAAGGCTATGGTGGTTTCGACCGGACGTTAAAAAGGCTATGGTGGTTTCGACCTATGCACTAAAGAAATTAGAAATGCTTGCAAAATGCAGATGGTATCTAAGGCAGCGTTTGTGGCTTGGTTATTTGGCACAGTAATGACGGCAATCATACAATAATCTTTGGTCTGACCATTGCAGCTTTATGCTTTTGAGTTATTTTAACTTTCCACTACAGAAAAATTTGAAATTTACATGCTTTTACAATAATGTTATTAGGTCTAAAGGGTATCAATATTAAAAAATACAACCTTTATTGCGATTTCGTCCCAATAGACATACACGATAACATCAGGCTACGGTTGGCTCCTGTACTTGCCGCGGCGGACAGGTCGAGTTGTTTATCTAAATTTTACCCTTATAACTTCTTAGGTTCTCATAGATATGCACTGTCTTGTAGTTATATTAATACAAATCACTGAGATTTGAAATCTCACTCAGAGTGGACCAATTTTCTGTCCCTGTTTTTGCACTTTTGCTTTGGTGTGATTTTGAAACGTTCCAGACGTTAATGAATGAACCATACACAACCATATTAATGCAGTAAAATGCAATGCAACAAACATAAATACCCTGAAATAAATAACATGCTAACAGCATAGTCAAGATGAATTTATTGTCTTGTGCAACGGGACACTGTCCCCTCAGGCATTTGACATTCCAAAAACATGATAAACAGCAAAGGTCACACGAAAAAAAAACACAACATAATAATCACAGCAAATTGAGTTCGGCTAGGCAAGCAACAGAAATTGTGAAAAGGAAAGTACACAAAGTGAGCAGAAAACTACAAAAGTCAAAAGTCATGTCGACAATGTGCTATAATTATAAGATATTGGCTTAATGAAATGCATAAAAAAGGGAGGGAAGCGATCGCACTGGTGTCCATGCGTAAAACCAAAACCCACTTACTGTTATTATTAGTACAAGTTTTAACAATTTTCGAAAATTTTAATAATCTTGCGGGAAAAATGGAAAGCATGGACACTTACGTGCGTAATCGCACTATTGATTTATTAGCCAATATCTGTGCTGCGGTAATTTTAACAAAACTGCTGATCGAACAATCTGACAAAAGCATCCAACTAAGAAATATCCTCCGACTTTGCTGAAGGTCCACATACCAAGGCAGTGACCGGCCGATCGGCTAGGAGGAATTCAGAAAGAGTCTAGCAACCTAAAAAAAACCTAAAAAACCTAAAAAATCTCGTATTATTATTTGTTCAGGCTACGCAAACGTTTAACACAGTTCAGTTCGCTCCAACAAACGGTATCCAGCGCATTCTTAAACACGTTGAGTGAGGCGTAGTCTTTCTTATCCAGAGTCATTTCATTCCATAACTGGACCAGGCGACTGGAGAGTGAGTCCGAGGAAGGAGGCAACGTAATCCCGCACAACGTTGTAGGTGCCGCCGTTATAGGGAAGGGATGCGCAGACAGCCTATCCGCCGATCTTGTATGACCTGAAAAACAGGACAAGGCGGCAGCAGTTTGTTCCAAGGGTAAGAAAAACCGTTCTCCCAGAGGGATATGGTTAAAAACAAGCTTGTAGACCAAAACCAAGCTGCGTTTCAATCTGCGCAGTTCAAAACAATCCCACTTAAGCTCCAATAATCGTTCATTAAAGCTTTCACTACCAAGACAGAGAGAGTACACAAAACGTTCTAAGCAGCGCTCTAATTTGTCTCGGCAAGTTTTGTTAGCGGGAGCAATAAAAGGGCAACAGGAATCAAACGATGTGAAGACCAGTCTTTAAATTGAGCTTACGCTCAAGTCGTCGCAGCGGAGGCAGGACTGCCTCTGCTCCTTCAACTATGCTCCTAGCAAAGAAAGCCATAACTAGAAAAGTGCACTCGCTTTTGGCGGGCACTGCATGACCGAAGCGTATGATTAATTACTATGTATTCCTGCCAGGAATTGATAGTAATTAATAACTTACAATTAGACTTTTGCCGGTAGCGGAGCAATATACGATGTTTGCAATTATCGCATTTAGCACTGTTTATAGTATTTTAAGTCTTAGACAGCAACAACAAACTACAGCAGTAGTAAAATGGATGTTACGAAGTACAAGAAAAACCTATAACTGACAAATACGCGCGGACAAATGAACGTTTTGCTGTTCTTAGAACCGCCTGAACTTTGACAGGCTAATATTTTAAGGAAAGTGACCCGGTACACAGCACAAAATTCGTGTGCATGTACCAAAATTTTTCGTTTGTTGCAGGTCAAGTTTGCACTCAAAAACACTTTTCGGCATTGACTCATAGCAGTGTGTAGGCAAGCGATTTGTACATACGGGCGCGAAAACCGCCATAACATACCAACCGGATGTTGATCGCATAAACAGTTTCACGCCAATGTTTGCAAATTTGTTGGCAATAGAGTGTCATAAAAAGAGGCGAAAAAGTGTTTGGCAGTGCGTGCAAGCGAAAGTTTTCACACATAAACGAATTAGTATCGTGTACCAGCATAGGGCAGCAATATTCGACACACATTTCTACACTCAGACAACGAGTTCATGTTGAACTGCTTTCTACATTATTTACCTGTTGAACTGCGTTCTAACTTTCTTGCCAAAGGGGGGAAGGGGGCAGGGGAAGGAGGTCGAGGGCCAACAAAAGATTTTGAGAAACAATCCTGCAGGTCATAATCGCCAAGCTGAAAAACTTAACCTTGAAGGCATCATAAAAACCGAACCTTGAAGGCAGCATATATTGGCCAAACTACGACTGACGTTCTTCCAAGCGGACGGATGGATGTGCCGTTTTAGAGGCATGCTAGGCGACAGTTTCGAAACTGTATCTTTTAGGAAAAAGTCAACGGGTATAAGTAAGCTCGATTTTATTTCGCCGCGCGCGTTTTTTCGCGCGAGCAGTGTGATATGTACGTATCCGACCCTGTAGGGCAATCTCATCCAGCGGGTAAAGTACTCAAAAAAGTTTTAGAAGAATGTCTGTATGGCGACAGAAAGGGCATCGGCACTAAATAAAAGACTTAACCGCTGTCATCAGCCGTTAGTACGAAGGGCTTCTGTGTTCCTCTTCTTTTATGATACCAGTGTGGCGGTGACCGACGGACGGGCACCAACAGTTACATTAGGTGCGAGTATATACGGCCACCGCGCAAGCGTGCATTTGATACCAACGCGCATATGTGCATTTAGTGGCGGTGACCGACGCACGGACACCACAGTTGCCATAATCGCTGAACATAGAAGACCTTCGCTACGCTTCGGTCGAAAACCTGCTTCTAGCAAAGAAAGCCATAAAAACCTGTAGCAAGCCCGGGCCTGCATAACGTGTGCCTCTCGAACACAAATACGCGTATTAGTTCTAGCGGTGGGTGTTAACTCCATCCGTGCGCCGAGCGAGCGCCAATTAATCAGTGCAACTGGCAAACGGTATTGGATATGTGGAACTGAAAAAGCGTGACCGACGCTCTTCGTGGGCGACAGACAAAATTTTACCCCTTGACGAAGCCTTATTGCAGCATCTCGCTGCGCTCGATGCAGATTATAAAAGAGCATTCTTAAGTGTATACGTTGAAACAAACATGACATTTGATCAGATAAAGTCCTCGTAATGTATAAAAATAAGTAGGCAGCCGCTTGTCAGAAGACACAGAAGCAACGGGAAAAAGGAAGCAAATGTAGCACCTTTATTGAGCATCAATAAAGCATTGGATATGTGGAACTGGAAAAGCGTGACTCAATATCAATAAAGCAACCACAAACACCAACAGAAAACCAATGCGGAAAAGCCGATGGAAAAGTAGCTGCCAGCGAGCTTATCGAAATCTAACGTAATGGGCGGGATGCTGCAGCTGCGCATCAGCTGAGGCCGCAAAGCATAGAATCGCTCGTAGGCGCTGGGCCGGTGGGTCCGATGACGGCGGTGCGGTATCCGTTTGGTACATGGATGCTGATATTCTGGGCCACAGAGCTGACGCTTCGTTCAGGTCTCTTATTGGTGCGGGAAAAGACCAGGCTCGAATCATCCTCATTCTTCTTTCCAGGTGAGGTCCGCGTTTGGGGCGGGCGCTCCTGAGACGGCCACGATTCTGGTGACCGGTCTGGTCTTGGTTTCGATTCTCGATGTAGTAACGTAAGTCATAAGGCTGCCGCGATAGCGGTGCCGGTGGCGCATACTGTTGAGTACGCGTCGGTTCATACTGGCCCTTTAGGGCTTCCAACAGTCCGCTTTCCATCAGCTGCTTGGCCACTTGGTCGACCATGGTTGTGTTGATGCTGGTCATGATCTGTTCGTACGTCGTTGGAGTTGGCGCCTCATACCCGTAGGGCTGAAAGCGTGACGGTGGCTGCTGCTGGTGCGACTGCTGTCCATGAGTTTTCGGGACGGCCGTTGGACCGTGCCCTGTCGACTGATCGGCACGTGTGTTACCAGGCCGACTATTACGCTCATTATCCCGCTGGATCTTTCGTTCTCGCGCCGTTTGGGTGAGAGGTGGCCACTTGGTTTTGGGACCGCTCCAGCCAGGTAGTAGGGCGCCAGCGCGTTGCATGTAGAGATCGCAGATTTCGATCTGTTCGTGGTCCCTCAGTAGGGGGAACAAGTGGCGTCCGTCGCGGCTGTACATGTGACAATAAGCGTCGAAGTTGCCTCTGACCACTTCTTGGTAGAAGCCATACGCTCTTTCGTTTTCGTCACGGAAGCCGGGTCGCAAAAATGGTACGTGCAGGGGAACAACTCCCGTTGAGAGTTGTCCCTTAGGCTGGACTGATCCGAACTGTTGTGTTTGCAGTCCCGACAACTTGGGTCATATTTCTGCTGCGGTGTAACTGCCATTCTCTGTGGTAACTGCAATAAGACATGCAGAACGGTGATGAAGTCCACTTCTAGGACTAGTCCCTATGATAATTACGCCCTTTGAAATTACGTCCTATAAAATTACAACCCGTCCCCTAGATCACTGATGATATGGCCTCCGCTTTTGCTTCTTCTTGGTGGAGGCCAAAGTGGGGGTGGTGGTAGGACGAGGGCCATAACGGTCTGGTGGGTCACGCAGCAATCGGTATCGCTGTTGGGCTTCTAGCTCATCAACCGTTTGGCCGAGCCAGCGTTCGTTGAGCATCTTTTTGACCACATACTGGACGTCCTCGTTGATGCTGAACAAGCCCATGTCGCGGCCCTGGCCGGAGACGTATTCCGTTCCGTCCCTGAGTTGTGGGTGGTGCGCCAAGCGTTCCAGCTGGTAATGGCCCAGGAGTTGATTGGCTATTTGACCTCTTGTACGGACCATCGGGTGTGATG